CCTGGCCCCGGACCCCGCCGACCCTGCGAGCGCACGCCGCTGGGGGTGAGCACGCCCGCAGGAGACGCTCTGAAGAAACCAGTAAACGTCTTTAAACACCCAACTCACACGCACGGAACGCCCTTCAGAGCAACACAGCCTGTTAGGAGACGGCTCTAAGCCCGGAGGGTCAAGGGAAGTGAACGCGCTCACCGCTGCTGGCCGCGGAGCCCGGAGCACCCACCCCCGCGTGAGCTCTTGCCGACCGCCTCCCCTGACTGCTCTGGGAACCCTCCTGCTGGAAGAAGGGGTGTATTTCCAAGCCACTCACCAAACATGGAAATTAACCCCCAGATGGAAATTTCAGGCTTTTCTACATTATACTGTGGAGCCAAAATCACAACTGGAGACCTGTGTTGCTCCCGGAGCAACGGTGGAGCCTGCTCCTCCCAACTAGCTGAGCTGTAGAGGAGGGCGGCGGGAGGTGTGTCTCCAGCTCTGCCTCAGTGGTTCTTCCCTTCCCTCCCCACCTGTCTTCTCCTCCTGGCATCTTTGTCTCAATAACTTCCCCACAAATGGCATGATAGACAGTTTTTAATAATGGCTGCTGAACAGAGTTCTATCCCTCACTTGTCCTGCCTGCTGCATCCCAGGCCACGCCCAGGCCCCCCAACCGCACCTCAGGAGCCTGCAGCTGTATTTGCAGTGAAAAGAACCAGAAATGGCAGGAGAAAGCTCAGTGCTCCCCAGACCCCTTCGCCATGCGGTACTGTGTGGCCAAGAAGTACACCTCCGAGGATTCTTTCCTGCTGGCTGCAGGTTTCAGGGTCCTCGCGCTCTGGAATTCCTTTGTCAGTCTTTTCTGTAGCTGGTGGCTTTGACTTCCAGCCCAGGTCTTACAGAGGAATGTTCCCCCAGGGTGCAGGATATCTGGAGCCATGTCCAGAAGGGACAGGCACAGGCCAATGAGCCTGTCGTGGTCCAGGCCCCGGATCCCTGTGGCATTGGGGGCCATATCACTCAGAATCACATCTGCTCTCCCGCCAGGAAGCAGTTCTTGGATCCTCTGCAAGGTTTTTGGGTCAGTCACATTAGCGGGGCACAAAAAAGTTGCTCCTTCCAGGGGTGATATGTTAAGAAGATCAACCCCAAGCACAAAGCCAACAGGGCTACTGGGATCTAAGGAGGAAACAGTGAATGAATTATTTATTTTACCCCTGATTCTTCCCACACAAGTTCATGCCACAAAGGAATGAAATAGGGCCAAACAAAAGAGCTAATGTGCAAACAGGCAGACACAGGTCTTTTCCCACTTTCTATACATCCTGCAAGAACACGGGTGGGGAGGGGTGGTCCTTCACTCTACAGCTGAGGAAACTGAGGCCCAGAGAGGCTCAGTGACTGTCCCAGAGTGAAATGCAGACCTGGGGTCCCCCACTGGACTTGTCCCCAGCTCTGAATTCATTTCACTTCCTGAGGCTGCTCTCCGTGAGGGTCCTTATCTCTGATGAACTAAAATAGAAAATACACTAGCACATAAAGTGCCTCTGGATTGAATCAGCAAATCCATCTGCATCTTAATCCAAATTCTTTCCGTGAGAAGGCAGCCAAGATATGGGGTAAAGGGCAGATGCAAACAAGGTCCAAAATTGATACCCTGCCCGTATTTGAGTGCTACCGGTTGTGAAATAAAAAGATGTCACTGTTTCATGTTACCTAAAACAAGACCTCCAGCCTGCACGACTATTGTCCTCTCTCTAAAATCAATAAGCATCTCCTCACGTGAGGCTTAAAAAAAAAAACTTTGACAAAACCCGAAAATATGAAAGATAAAAGCTGAGTCCCTCAGGTTAAACTGGAGTTGAGAATCTGGAGCCCCAGCAGGACCTCAGGGTGACCAAGGGCTTCAGGAACCAGGACCTAGAAACTTCTGGGGCTGCTGTCACAGAAAGACAGCACTACTAAGCAAGGAAAAGTGCTCCATTAAGGCTCCACAGCAGCACGGAGACTATGGTATAACAGCACTCTGAAAAGAAAGTATATATATGGCATTATGTGTGCAAAAACGAATTCTAGAAGGATGCACACCAACACACAAGTGAGGTGATTTTAATTATCACTGTACCTTTCTACCATGTTTTCCATTCTGAAAATGTCAGTGTCCTGACTTTATCATCATTACTACTAAACAACCAACTCAGACGTCTCTGCCTTCGGAAAGCGGCTCGACCGCTCTGAGTCCTCTGTCCTCCGGCTCATGGTGTCTACAGATTTTGCTTCCCCTAAGAGCTATAGGAGACCCCACCTGTGCCTGCAGCGTTGACTCTCTGCACAGCCACCTGGCTCCAAGCCCCAGGGGCCGCCCCGCAGTCTAAGACCCGGAGGCCGGGCCGCAGGATCCGATGCTTCGTGTCCACCTCCAGAAGCTTGAAGGCACTTCGGCACCGGTAACTCTCCACCTTAGTAGCCTTCACAAATGGGTCCTTCAAATGCCGCATCAGCCACAGGTGCTCAGCACCAGTCCGAGCCTTGTAGTGACTCCCAGCTGTGTGGAACCTGTGACACTGCAGGATAGCACACGCCAGCTTCCAGGACCTGATGAGGGAAAGGGAGCCGACAGGTTGCAATCCCACATCCACAAGTTCCAAGCTCAGTGGGGCCGTCCATGCAACCCCTGCATTTTTAGAGATGGGGAACAGGGGCCCAGAAGGGGAGGCAACTTGACAAAGCCACAGCAAGAAAGCAGGTGCATGGACTGAACTGTGACACCCAAAACTCATACTGAAATCCTAACCCCCAGTACCTCAGTATGTGACTGGTCTTTAAAGAGGTAATTAAGCTAAAATGAGGTCATATGGGTGGGCCCTAATCCAATAGGACTAGTGTCCTTATAAGAGATTAGGGCACACAAGCACAGAGGGACAAGCATGTGAGACCACAGGAAGGAGATGGCTGCCTACATGTCAAGAAGACAAGCCTCAGAGGAAACCAACCCTGCTAACACCTTGATTTCAGACTGCCTGGCGGCCAGCCCTATGACAGTAAATTTCTGTTGTTAAAGCCACCTGGTCTGCAGAGCCTGTTGTGGCAGCCAGAGCTGATTAATACAGCAGGCAGCTGCCCTGGAGCCAAGAAGTGTTTTTCACCCTGCTGGGTGTTCAGCTGGTTAGAGCATCGTCCCCATACGCCAAGGTTGCTGGTTTGATCCCCAGTCAGGGCACATACAAGAATCAACCAATGAACGTGTAAATACATGGAACAACAAATCAATCTCTCTCAAGTAAATAAAAACATAAATGTTTCTCCTCTCCTAAGTTTTCTCCATAAGGAAAACTCAGACATCAGTGACAGTTGTTTGTATCCACCAAGATCTTCCCAGTACCAGTTAATAGTACTGACAAAGTTAGTGAAGGGGACATTCTTTCCCAGCTGGTACAACTTTCACTCAGCGGCGGGAGACTGCGAAAAAGCCCCAGGAAGACAGGTCCTTGCCTGGCTACTTGGTTCCCCGATAAGCAAATCTGGCGGCAGCTAGCCAGGCCTGACCTTCACGTTTCTGAACAAAACTGAATGAACTTGTGTGACTAGTTGAAGAGCAAGTTCCAAGTTTCTTTGGAAAAGTTAGGTTTTTAATGGTTACGGGACTGCCAGGAGCTATCCATACCTGCCCTAATTTAACTCTCGGACCTACAAAATAGGTTCCAAACCCACTTTCCTAATGAAAAGAAAGGTATCACCATCATTCCCATGGCTCCAGAACAAAGCCCCTTCAACACCAAAGTGTGATGACAAGACCTGGAGACAATAACTCAGGAAACACGGCCTTCAAATGGCACAAGGGGTCTCATAGGAAGAGGGCACGGAGTGGTCCTGGTGCCAGAACGAATCCCAACTGAACCCCAACGGTCAAGGGAGGCTGGAGACGGGAGCTACACAAACATGTCCCCCTGCTTGGGCAGCTGACCTCTGACCTTCTCCGCCCCATCCCACATCCTGGATTCAGCCACAGTGGCCTTTCCTGTCTCAGCAGCCCTGTGCCACAGCCTTGAGGCCTGCGGTGCTCTTCACAAGCTTCACCTCTACCTGCAGGGCCACCTCACCTGCCCCCTCCTCCTCTCCACCTGCAGGACCACCTCACCCGTCCCCTCCTCTCCACCTGCAGGGCCACCTCACCTGCCCCCACCTCACCTGCCCCCTCCTCCTCTCCACCTGCAGGGCCACCTCACCTGCCCCCACCTCACCTGCCCCCTCCTCCTCTCTACCTGCAGGACCACCTCACCTGCCCCCTCCTCCTCTCCACCTGCAGGACCACCTCACCCGTCCCCTCCTCTCCACCTGCAGGGCCACCTCACCTGCCCACACCTCACCTGTCCCCTCCTCCTCTCTACCTGAAGGACCACCTCACCTGCCCCCTCCTCCTCTCCACCTGCAGGGCCACCTCACCTGCCCCCACCTCACCTGCCCCCTCCTCCTCTCTACCTGCAGGACCACCTCACCTGCCCCCTCCTCCTCTCCACCTGCAGGACCACCTCACCTGCCCCCACCTCACCTGCCCCCTCCTCCTCTC